GGGGTCATTTGGAACTGAGGATGTGGGTTATTATTACACAGTTATTTATAATGACAAGGCCAAGGGCATGCCTAAGGCAGGAGTGGTAGAGATGGAGTTGGGGAGGAAGTCATCCGGGAACAGAAGATCAAAGAAATGAGAGGTTGGGGTATTGGAAAGGTCCTCCATACAGGACTGATGTCACTATGAACTAAAGCAGGTGTTGGAGCCAATAAAAGCAAGACAGAAGCCCTGTAATTTTGAGGACTGACGAGGGTGGGCTCAGTAAGTGACAGCTACAAGAGATGTCTTCAGTGACACAGTCTGATGACATGGGAAGAAGGAGAGAGTAGGCCAAGAACCAGAAAAGAGGAGCAAGGAGGCCACCGCCCACCCCAGGGCCACAGGTCCAAAGGGAAAGGGAGAAACCAGCCCCTACTCCAGAGGGCTGCAGGGAAGGCCTCTCAGGGAGAAGCCCCGATAAGCATCCAGTGGGAAAGTTTCAGAGGCCTGGAGGCGATCAGAGGTTTGCTGATGATGTGCCCAGAGGGTGCGGTGGAGGGATTTTAGGAGTCAGAGAGGGGTGGAGTGGGGTCAGAAAAGGGACGTTCAGAGCCCCATGGCAATGAGAATTCCTGAGTCCAGTGGTGACTGGTGAGAACAAGTGGACTGAGTGGACTGCTGGGCAGCACAAAATATCCACTGACATTAGCGGGCAGGAATTTACAGTGAAACCAGGCATTGCACTGTGGCTGTTTTCCTCCAGTTTCTGCCAGTACAGTTAACTGCATGGAGATCAGCCAGAAAAGGCAGAAAGAGGTTGTAGGGCATGATGAGATCCGTCCTATGCTCCCAAGGCAGGCGGGGGTGGCACCACACCTCTGCTGCCCTGCAAGGACAGAAAGGAAAAGGTGTCCTGTCTCTCGTGCTCACCACATCCCCATCACGGGGCATTTCCCGAGCGTGCCTCACGCGCAGCCCAGTGGAAAACCGCCAGACCACACACCACAGAGAGACAGGTTCTGCGTCAGGCACAGCGTGGCAGAACGGGAAAGGCGCAGTGTGAAAGCCCGGGGAACCCGAGTTCAAACCCTGCCTCCATCTGCCACAAGATCAATCTCAAGCGAGTTACCTAACCTCTCGCGGCTCCCGTGACTGTTCTCTCCTGTGTAAAATGAGAGCACAAATGTTTACCTCGTATATGAAGCACAAAAGCACTCCATAAATGCTCAGTTCTGATTCGCAGTGTTTGTAGTGCAGAAACAAGGAAAGACAACATCTGTGGGGCATCTCCTATGTGCCAGGCACTGTGCTCAGACATGCATTTGTAAATGTGCACTTTACCCATTTCACGAATAGGAAGCGTGACGCTCAAAGAAGTCACATGATTTGTTCAACGTCTCATCGTCACTAACTAGTAGAAGCAGCACTGATACCTAGAACTTCTCCTTCCATATCCAGTGTGCCTTCCGCCACATCACATGGACTGGTACGTAGCAGGGGCTCCATAAATATTTGTTTGAAAAATAGACGAAGAGACAAGAATGGGTCTTTGAACATCAGGCCTGGTTTTGTGCACAAGCTCAAGCAACCAAGCATGCAGTGTGGTTTCAGGGATGCCCGAAATACCAAGTTCTCAGGCTTGGCCTGAAATTCCCTTATTAGAAATGCTTGCTTGTCTTCTCCTCCCAATCGTTCATGTCTTTGAACTGCTACATAACAAGGCCTTTCCAGCCATTCATGTCTGTGTTAATGAGTTTCCTGGGTCTGTTCCTACAAACTAGTTTTTATTGTTGAATATTTAGGGGGTCTTGCCCAGTGGGAGTCTGGGGGGACCCTAAATAATTTACCTATTTCACAGCCTTATTTTCTGCCTACTTTATACACATCACAATTTTAGGTGTGAATCCAGTTTCAGTATGGAGTCCCAAAGACTAAAAATAAAACTGTTCCTTTCTCATCAGTATTTGTAAAAAAAAAATAATAATAGTAATAAAAAGGTAGATTGATAATTCTCAATCTTTACCATAATATAGTTGACTAGCACAAAAAAAGAGGTAAAATTCCCTCTTGTAAGCCAAATTATTCAAAGTGGTCCTGTAAAATTTCATTTAAAATGGACAAGAGTTAGGAGATGATCAGTATTAGAGTTAGCTTGAACATACTGCATTGTCATCAGTTTGCAGTAAGCTATGTTCAAATTGATGGGGATTAATATTTGAAATATTCAGGGTCTAATGTAGTTATTTTATTTTGAGACAAAGACTCCCTCTGCCGCCCAGGCTGGAGTGCAATGGTGCAATCTCAGCTCACTGCAACCTCCGCCTCTCGGGTTCTGCCTCAGCCTCCCAAGTAGCTGGGATTACAGGCACGTGCCACCATGCCTGGCTAATTTTTGTATTTTTAGTAGAGACGGGGTTTCACCGTGTT